CTAAATATTTTTAATTACCCTTTTTTTTTTTTTTATTTTACTCTTTTTTTTATTGTTGTTGTTGTTGTTTTTTTGTTTTTTAATTATTTTTCTATAAATTAAATAAGAAACAATACATGTATATTGAATAGGAATTATTATGGGATCTCTAATGATGAGATTGTTTTCTGTTTCAATTTTGTATTAATTTTTTTTTTTTTAAATATTTTTGTATTCAATTGTTTATTATTGATGATATTGATGAATAAAATAATAATAGAAATTATAGATTAAATTAATTTTCTAATTGAATATAAGTTGATTGGATCAATATTTGATTTGTATTGAAAATACGAATTTAATTAATTAAATAAATAATAATTATTTGTTATATATATATATATATATATATATATATGATTTTAATTTGTATTTGTAAATAGAATTAATTGTACTATTTTTTTTATTTTTTATTTTTAAATTGGGTTGATATTGATAATTGAATTAATTAAATTATATTTAATAAAAATAAATATTTAAATATATGATTATATTTGTATTTTGTAATAGAATAATTAATTTTTGTTATTTTTTTTTTTTTTATTTTAAATAGGGTTAAATATGATAATTTAATTATTTCAATTATATTTAATAAATTTAGAAGAATTATTTGTTATAGAATTAATTTTTAATTGAATAGTTGATTGGATCAATATTTAATTCGTATTTAATAGGTATAATTAATTAAATAAAAAGAATTATTTATTATATGATTTAAATTTGTTATTTTTTGTTTTTTTATTTTAAATAGGGTTAATGATAATTTAATTAATTTAATTAATTTAATAAAAATAAATTATTTCTTATAGAATTAATTTGGTTACTCTTCTTCTTTTTTTTTTTTTTGTTTAATTTAAATGTGCTTAATATCATATTGATTTTATTTAATTAATTAAATACAAAGAGAATTATTATTTCTTATTATAGAGAATTATATTTCTAATTTTTTTTTTTATTTATAAATGAGGGTTGGGGTTGTTGATGATAATTATTATATCTACAAACAAAAGTTGCATTATTTTCTATTATTGTTTTCATGGAAACGTTTAAAGAGATAGAAATTGTAAAAGGTATGTTGAGGTGTTGAGGATGAACCTTCTGTAATGGGTGGTAATGTAAAGGGATGGTCTACCCTCGTGGACAGTTGATTCTATGTTAAATGTGGTTGTAGATACCTGTTCATCGTGCCCAAGTGGGTCGCCTCAATGCACAAGGTCGTCGAGTTTTTTTAATCTAGAACAACTCTCTCTCTCTCTCTCTCTCTCTCTCTCTCTCTTTCTCTCTTGCAAATTACAGAATTTTTTTTTTTTTTATGAATGCAAACAACCACAAAATATTCCTACAAGTAAATTCAATAAACACCTATACATGTATTTTGTTTATTACATTGATATTAATTTTTTGTTTCAATAAATATCATTATTGTTAATATAATTATTGTTATTTTTTTTATGAATTATTATTTTTTATTTAATAATTTTGTAAATGAATTTGCAACTTTTTTATCTTTTTTTTCTTTTTTAAATTAATTTGTTAAATGAAATATAGATAGAATGTGAAATACAAATTTAAAATAATTATTAAATTAATATATTATTATTATTATTATTATTATTATTATTATTATTATTATTATTATTACTTATATATTAATTTATTATATTTTTAAAAAATTTTATTAAATTTATTATATTTATTGAATTATTATAATTTAATTATTATTATTATACAAATTATATATGTATTAATGTAATTCAATTTTATTTAATATAAGAAAACAAAACAAAAATAATATTATATATATAATTATCTAAATAATTATTATTAATAATTTAATAATTCTATTATATTAATAATAATTAAAACGAAAATAAAAAAAAAGAGAAGTAATAATAAATGTGTGTCGATAGATTTTGTAATAAAAGGTTAGTTTTGTATTTATATTTGTTTTATAGAAGTTTACAAGTTTATTTTTTAGGTATACCCCTTTTTAGGATGTTTACCCCAAAGGCCTCACCCCCCCCCTCTACATGTATATTTGTTTTATATTTTTATGTATATATATATATATTTTTTTTTTATAAATGATATGAAAAAGTATTAAGAGTGAACTATATCGATGAAATAAGAAAGAAAGTTTATCAGAAAAGTGGATTATCCGATTAGCTACCTTTGCCATTAACATGAACGATCGAGATTCTAGTGTATTGCTTGCTTGGTAAACATGGGAACGGTTTAGTTCGCTTTTTTTTTTTTTTCATATCAACGTTCTTTGACATGCTTTACGAGATCTCTCTACATTTTTTTTTTTTTTCATGCTTCCTACTTTTGCGAAGGGTACAAAAGTTTTCCATGATTCTTCAATGGTATCGAGCGACACGGTAAAAGAAGCCAATTATTTGTTCTACAGTTTGCATGACAAATCGAACCAAACACTTTTTTTCTTTCTCTCTCTCTCTCTCTCTCTCTCTCTCTTTCTCTTGCTTTGATAATTAATCATGACGTTGGTTTTTTTCTTTTTTTCGTTCCATTTCCTTTTTCCCCCTTTTTTCAAAAATTCATCCCCCCTTTCAAAAAAATAATAAATAAAATGACAAAATAATTGACGATACATACGCGGGGTTAAAGAAAAAAAGAAAAAAAAAGAAAAAAAAAAGATGGCTGGTTAGATGCATGCGGACGTATCCGGGAGGAACGGGGTGTGTCAGCATTTTAACCCACTGTCCTCAATTCTGTTGCAGATAAGGATCGACCGACACGAACAGTAGACTATGTTATTTCGGATAACGGATTGATCGCACCCGTCGCTTCATTCACACGTGAGTATATACTTATACATATACAACAACAACAACAACAACTACAAAAAGAAACAAATACAATCAACGCGAGTATAAAAGTCGATTAAAATCGATCGACAAATGATTTTTCTTACTTCTATATAAATATAAAAACATACACACGTATTTGTGATGTGTTTTGGTATTGTGAGTCTAGGGAATTTTTTATATTATATTAATTTTTATTAGGTAAGGTTTATATTTTTCTGGTTGTTCTGGTTGTTGTTGTTGTTCTTCTTCTTTTTCTTGATTTTAATTTTGAATTGTTTTTTTTTTTTTTACGTATGTACTCGTATTTATTGTGTGTGTTTTTTTTTGGATATATTGGTAATCTAGGGAATATTAAATTATATTAATTTTATTTATACACGGTGTATATTTTTCTTGTTTTTTTTTTTTTAGTGTTGGAACATAAATGAAACCCCGTCGTCGTTAGGATGATCACGGCAGAAATATTCTCTTTAGCTTATCCCAACCGAATATTAATGAAAAAAGTTCGTTAGTGAGACCCGCGAGACTGCAGTTTCTTTTTCTCTTTCTCTTTCTCTTTCTCTCTCTTTCTCTCACTCAGGAGTTACGCGGGAAAATCAATGTTTCCAAGCACTTCAATGTTTCGTTAACATTTGCCATACCATTTCGGCTTTGTCTCGTCACTTGATTGATTTTCATAAAAATAAACTAGAAAAACAACTAGTTGACAATTTATTTTAATTACACACATATATCTATATATATAAGTGTTTTCCTCTATATTTTATGTTAATGTATAGGTGAACGCCTTTGGAAGAAAGATTAGACTCTACTTAGACTTCCAAACTAACTTTTTGAGAACTTTCGCAGCAACATTGTTTGTTTCTATCCTAGTTCACGTGACACATTATACACAACTGTGATTCATATTATAAACAAGAATAGTTTTCCATTGAATATTTCTACTTGATTTTCTTCTACTTACAAATTCGTCTTGTTATTTTTTTACCGAAGAAAAAAAAACACCCCTAAAGAAACTATTTTGTTTGTTTTGAAAATATGTGTGCAGCATATCACACAAGTTAGAAGTGAAATCTTCAAATAAACAAATTTCCACGATAATTTATTATTATAATATTATTTATATTATTAATTTGTAATTATTCATTTAATTAATAAAAATGTGCGGCGCCTGTTTGTATGCAACCCTCCAGACACACTTAGAAAATGTTGCTTGCGAGCGACATCTACTGGGACGGAATTTTTGTTCCAATCAAAACTGTTTCTACACGCGTGTATGACGGGTTGCCGATCTTTCGGGCAGAACCAAAATTCCGTCCCGACAGATGACGCTCGCAAGCAACATTTTCAAAGTGTGTCTGGAGGGTTGCATTCATACAGGCTCCGCACATTTTTATTATAATTACAAAGAGAGAAAGTAAATAATGATAAAAATTCAACTCTATTATTGTAATTAATTTTAGCATATTTTTAGAATAATATTTAATATTTTGCATCTACATCGTTTATTTCCTTTCCCCACTACATCCCGGTTTCGTTTGATTTTTTCAAATCACACCCACTCTAAAGAAGTTTTCATTTCAAAAATTATTATTATTATTATTAATTGGTATTGGAAACTCGTAAAGTTCATTTCTATCAAATAGGTCGGACATGAAAAATCTTGGTTCGCGTTGGACGGTCCCCGACATAGCACGCACTGCTGCAGCGCGTTCGTCATTTCTCGTGGCCATTTCGTCGGAACGAGATTCAGGTAGTATCAGCAGCAGTAGCAAAAGTAAAAGCAACGATAACAACAGCAGTAACAGCAGAAGCAGAAGCAACAGCAACAGCAGCAGTACCAGTAACAGTAAAAGAAGAAGAAACGATATTAGCATTAACCCCACCACTACCACCACTTCCACCACCACTACCACAACTACCACCACCACCACCACCACCACCGCCGCCGCCACTATCATCAACAGCAACAAAAACAACAGCAACAACAACAGTGGTAACGAGTTTCGTAAGAAAACAACTAACAAGAAGTGCATAATCGATTATATCGGGAAAATAAGTAAAGAGATTAAAGGAAAATTTCGTTGTAAGTTCGAGCATTTGATTGCCGATAAATTGTCGGCAGTATTTTTAAAAGAAGTGCTTAAACGAGGTGCGTTATTATCCGTCCGATTTAACGTAACGGCGTCGTATAATAATTTAATCAACGGGACGAGGTGTTCCGACGAATCGACGCCGAGGAATCACCGGTCCTGGAATCAAAACAATTGTCAACAACAACAACAACAACAGCAAAAGCAAAAGCAAAAGCAAAAGCAAAAGCAGAAGCAACAACAGCATCAATCGGATCTATATTATTATTACTCTTCTTCTCCTGCATTTTCGTGGGACGAACACACACGACACTTCAGGAACTGTTAGCACCGATCAAAAGTAAGCCAATTTATTTCATTCATCAAACCAATTTCGTGACAAGTCCCTTTTTTGTTTTTAGTTGACTTGTTGTTCAGATTATTGGATTTGTGTAGCACACCGGTGATACACGTGGCCTGAAGATCAACTTTAAAACGTGTACCATCGGTAGTACATACATTAGGATTGTTTAATCTTATATTAAACAAATCATTTTGAAATGATTGTTATACCAAATGGTAACAGCAATTATGATTTATAAATTGTTATGTGTAATCACATTGTAAATATGTGTTCAGGAAGGTGGCAGGAAGCTGTGCGTAGCCTAGACAATGTCCGAAGAGTCTGACTCTATAACAGAGGAAGAAAGAAGTTTGTTCCGTCCGTTCACGCGGGAGTCTTTGACAGCGATCGAGGCTCGCATCGCCGAGGAACATGCAAAGCAGAAGGAACTCGAGAAAAAGAGAGCGGAAGGAGAGGTAACACCATCATATTTCAACATATTATAAAACACATTCATTTATTCATTTCATCATATTTCATTTATTCCTACAAATTTTATACGATCAGGATGATTATTCATTAGGAAATTATTCAATTTCCATTTAGGTTCGTATTCTCATCCTTTTTCTATCCCCACCACGGTTCAATACTCCCCACCACTCTCCAATACTCCCCACCATTCTTCCAACTTTTTACTTGGTTATTTTTATGTACGTTTAAGTTGAATATTGAAAAAAAGTAAAGTACAAATTTGCCAGTACTCGTAACCACAAGTTAATTAAATATATATATATAACAACCCCTGTATTATTATTCCATTGTATTTATCTCTGTGTATCTACAAAAATTTGTTTTCGCGTGTTAAAAAGCTCTGTGATGTTTTTGCAATGTTTCGTTTATCTGTGTCTCTCTCTCTCTCTCTGTTGTCAACGTACGTTTTATGACAATGTAAAAAAAAAAAAAATCCATGGTAATGCTAGAAACGTTGTCTTATTTCACACTCTCTTTCTTTTCTTGTCTAGTGTTTTATTTTTATTTTTATTTTTTTTTTTGCGAACTATGACAAATTTGTTCTTTTTAAAATGAAACAGATAAGATAAATAAGAAGATAAAGGTAAGAAAAGTTTGTCATAAATCAAATAAAAGAAAGAGAGTGTATTAACAAATCGGTACAGGCTTCAATATTATTATTATTATATATTATAAATATTAAATCTGGGGAAAAAGGAATAGAAATCGTTTAAACATAACCTAACAATAATAGATTTCTTTTTTCACCAAATTTAATATATTATTATTATATAATAATAATAGTAATTTTATATATTATTATTGTTATTAATAATGAATACACGTTGATTTATTTTTTAGTTTGTTTTTTTTGTTTTTTTTTGAAAAATTAATCCCCAAAATTGATCCTAGCATTTTCGCCAATCTGTGCTTTCGAGATATTCGTATATTTGTATCTTATGTTAGAACACGATCGATATATTATGTATTATATATTATATATGACGTTGTATTATTCTATCTATCTATCTATCTATCTGTCTATCTATCTATCTATCTATCTATCTATCTATCTTTATATATATATATTATATTTTAACTGTTGTTGCCTTATATACATTTCCCCTGCTCTGTATTTCTCTCTCTCTCTTTCTATTTCTATCTTTCTATCTTTCTATCTTTCTATCTTTCCATCTTATTTTTTTATTCGTATTCCAATTTTAACAAACTTGCAAAATGTAGAAGTAAAAAAACATTGCAATTTGATTAATACAAAAATATTGTTCAACCCTAAACCTAACCTCTCAATCTTCCAATTCTTCTTTTAACAAATTTGTCAACGTAGAAAAAAAAACAAAAATAACATTGCAATTTGATTGAACGAAAACAATTATTAAACCCATTAAATCTAACCTTAATCATCAATTTTTCTTTTAACACACACTTGTAAAATGTAGAAGAAAAAAAAAACATTGCAATTTGATTAAAAACAAAATTATTTAATAATTTAACCTTTAAACCTAACCTCAATAATCTCCAACACTCTTCTTTTAACAAATTTGTCAACGTAGAAAAAAAAAAACAAAAATAACATTGCAATTTGAATGAACCAAAAAAAAATTGTTTAACCCTTTCAACTTAACCTTCAATTTCTTTCTTCTATTCTTATTTTCTGTTTCATTCAATTTTATCATCGTAGATTAGAAAAAAAAAGAAAAAGAAAACTAGAAAAATAATCTTTTTCTTTAACTCAATTACATTGAACAAAGAAAAATTAATTTAATCCTTTTAATCTGTCTCTTTCTATCTATCTATCTATCTATCTATCAATCTTATTTCTATCTTTCTGTAGAACATAACCTAAAAACACACGCTTAAACATTAACCCCTTTCCTCGTAAAAAAAAAAACCTTGTCTCTCTCTCTCTCTCTCTCTGTTTGCTGTAATTTCTGTATGTAACCACTGTTTTCTCCATTTCTACAATTTCAGGGAGGTTTTGGACGGAAGAAAAAGAAAAAAGAAGTAAGACGTTGTGTCATGCTAAGTAATGCCCTAATCTATCTCTATCTCTATCTCTATCTCTATCTCTACATTTTTTTTGTTTCTCTTTCTCTATCACACACACTCTCACACACACTCACTCTCTCTCTCTCTCTCTCTCTATTTCTAACTCTTTCTCTCTCTCTCTCTCTCTCTTTCTCTCTCTCTTTGCTTTCTCTCTCTATTTTTTTTTAATTTATTTATTTCTGTTTAACTATCACCCTAATTAACTTTCTCAAACAAACAAACAAAACAAAACTTAGCATTTCTACACACGTTAATTAAAACACACATGCGTTATCATCACCATTTATAATATACGCGTGCATTTGCATATATATATTTGGGACGAGCGCTTCCATGCCAAACTTATTGGGCATTCGTGAGAAAGATTGGTCAGTGGGCCCCTGGATAGCTTAATTGGTTAAAAGAGCAGTCGTCCAGAAAGCGAAAGATCCATGGGTTTGAGTCCCGGTCCTTAGTCAATCCAGCGGTCCAATTCTTTTCACGAATCCCATATATATATATATTGTACATATACCATCACACAATGCAGCAATAGAACAATGCAGTTTATCTATAAAAACATATACACTTATACATGCATTATAACACATATGCGCATTATACGTCAATCTCCATATATATTCATATAATTATATACAGGGTGATCTGTAACAACTGATGGTACAAGTAAAAAGGGGCTGATTTTTTCATTTAGAATCAGCCGCTTTTCACTTGTATCTCCAGTTACAGATCACCCTGTATATATACAATGACATATGTACATTAGGAAGTATTTAACATGTGTCACATGTATGAAAAGTATATATATATATGTATATCATTATCGAACGAGAAGTATCGATATTCGATGTACGGTTAGTGGTGTTTCCACGAAATTCCTTTTCATATTTGAAGCAAAAGCAGCAGCAGAAGTAGAAGCAGAAGTAGAAGCACAAGTAGAAGTAGTAGCAATACCAACTACTATATTTCAGTTCAAGGACAAACGAATCTAATGACGACGACGACAACGACGTAACAAATCTTTATCTGGTTTTTTTCTTCTTCTTTTTTTTTTTTTGGCATTGTATTCGATGCCATTCTATATTTTATTACAATCAAATCTTGTCTTGTTCTTCTTTCTTTACTTTCCTTTTTTTTTATTATTATTATTATTATTATAAATAGAACTTAAGATGGAAAATCGGTAACGAGAAGAATTTATAAAATCTAACCCAGATTATCATTTCTTTAATCACTCATTCATTCATTCATTCATTCATACATTAATTAATTCATTCAGTACATTTTCATTCATTAATTTCATTTATACACAATAAAAAGTGACAAGGATTATCAGAATTGTTTAAAAGCATCTTGTTTGATTTGTTTTGAACAAATCATTTAACATGAATTATAATAGAAAAGATACGAGAGTTAGATGATCAAGAAAAATTGTTTAAACAAATTCATTAATGAAATAAATAGCATCACGTACAATCATGAACAACATTTACAATAACATTAACACTAACAGCAGCAGCAGCAGCATCAGCAGCAGCAGAAGCATCACTAGCAGCAACTAATTCAAGCCCAATTGCTTATATTTTGTTTATAAAATAGAAATGGATAGATAAATCAAAATAGTTTTTGACACATCATCACATTAGAAAATATTTAATAATATGTATCAATCAAATGATCTTCAAACTTGTGTTCAATCTTTCAAACTTGTGTTCAATCTTTCGAACTTGTTTTATAAAATGAATTGAAATTCCTTTTTTTTTAAATAATAATAATAATAATATATATATAATATAAATTTTATACAATAACAATAACACTTGAATGTTAAATATAAAACACAAGAATGTTATAACAATAACAATTTTATATAACAAAATTTATATGATGTGTGCGTGTGCCCCATTCACGCGTTGCTGTGAGATAATCATGACGACTCTTTGTTAATAAACAAATAATTGCGATTATAAATTAAGATATAAACTATCCTATCTTTCAAGTTGAATGAAATTGCACACAGTGTGCAAAATTTTATTCAAATTGGTTCAGTAGTTTAGGAGTCCATTGCGGACAAACAACGTGACACGTAATTTTTGATATATATATATATATATATTATATTATATTATATTATATTAATTTAAAAAAAAATAATTACGATTATTAAATAATACATTAAATAATAAATTATATTAATATTTGAAGTTTGAAATATTTTATCTGAAAAATCTTATTTTCAGATAATTTTAATTTTGTATTTTTTTTTTTTTTTAAATAATTCCATTTCTGTTTGTTTGTTTATATTTATAAAAATTCTATTAAACTAAAAAACACATGTTTGAGGACCATTTACCCCATTTATTAGAACAAGAATGCAGTTTAATGCAGTTTAATGCAGTTTAATGCAGTTTTTCAATTGCAATGCTTGCTTTTGCTCTCTCCTTATCTCTTTCTATCTCTATCTCTCTCTCTCTCTCTTTCTTTAGAAGACTATAATTTTGTTTTGTTTTTTTTTTTTAATTATTTAGTATTTAAATAGGCGAGAATCTAGGACGGTTCATGCACTTATGCACTGGAGAGTATTCAAAACTAAAAAGGAAACCACCACCACGTATTTTTTGTTTTGTTTTGTTTTGTTTTGTTTTGTTTATCATCGTTTTGTGTTTTCCTTTTCTATTTCTTCATTTCGTAATCACACGCTTCGCTGATATATTTTAGATTTTAGATATTTCTATAGATGATGTATATATTTTATACTTGTTTAGATATTGTATACATATATATATATGTATATGTAATATCTAAAGATATCGAGAATGGGATTTGAAAAGGTTCGTATTTTAAAGATAGGAATATGCCCTTATTATTTTTCTTTTATTCTTAAGCACGAGTTATTATTATTATTATTATTATTATTAATAAATTAATATGTGCATATATATTAAATAGATGGTAGTTGCTTTTAAATGAAACACTTGATTGGATGTCCCAAAAATAATTAAACAAGTTGAGTGCCATTAGTATTAATATTATTAATACTATTAAATGTGTTTAAATTAATTTCTAATTAATATATTTATAATACCATTATTTATTATATTTAAAATTAACGTAATGTAAGTACGTTATTATAATAGTATTAATACTATTAATAATTTTAATTTAACTTCCTAATTTAATTTCCTAATTTAATTTTGAAATTTAATTTAAATTAATAAAATTAATTATTATATAATATTTATATATAGATTTAATTTTATTAATTATTAAATAAATATTTAAATATTTTTCAATCTTTATTTATAATAATATTAAATACTATTAATAATTTTAATTTGATTTGCAAATTTAATTTGAATTAATAAAATTAATTATTATATAATATTTATACCTATTTTATTTAATTAATTATTAAATAAATATTTATATTATTAAATTGAATTTTGATAACTATAAAAGAAGAAGAAGAAGAAGATGGGTTTTGGATTCTTTTGAGTTTCTTTTTTTTTTTTAGTGCACAAATAAAACAAGAGATTTTATATATGAGACACGACATTAGATAGGAAAATGAAATTTTGTCCTCACATGTAAGATCATGTGACATATGGGGTGTTTCATTTCGTAGGTACGATATGACGACGAGGACGAGGACGAGGGTCCTCAACCGGATCCGGCACTCGAACAGGGTGCACCGATACCGGTTCGGTTGCACAACGTATTTCCACCCGAGTTGGCATCCACACCTCTCGAGGATATCGACACCTTCTATCAAAATCAAAGGGTACGATCAATACTTTATTTCTAATCCTTTACCCCTCCCCCCCCACTACCTACCTCCCCTTAACCTTAACCTTTATTTCTAATTCAACTATTCTCAAATTATTTCACATGTGTTAAGTTATAATGGGCGGGGTAGAGGGGGGGGGGGTTTGTTGTTGTTGTTGTTTTTTCTAAGAGAATAATTTGATTCAATGTTTAACAACACGTTGACCGGTCGGCGCCGATTTTCAGTGTCTGCCCTGTGGGGGCGGCACTCGAATTTAAGTTGCGTTTCATCTGGCGGCGCGTGATTTGTGCTTGTTGAAACCTGGACCAACCGGTGGACCACCGGTGGTACAAGCCGCCTGATGAGACAGACTAGTGCGGGCCACTGGTGGTACAAGCCGCCCGATGAGACAGTCTAATGCGGGCCACCGGTGGTACAAGCCGTCCGATGACACAGTCTAATGCGGGCCACCGGTGGTACACGCCGGCGTGAACGTGTTAATACATGTTACAAAAAAAAACATGTGTGCAGATCACACGTGTTAGAAGTGAAACCTTCCCAAAAAATCGAAGTTTCAAGAGAATTATTAGACGAATGTACAGTTTCAATAATATAAGATAATTGTAGGATTTATTTATTATAATATTATTGTCAAATATAATAAAGATTACCGATATTATGATTTCTGGGTGGAATAGCTGATAAAATGTACACTTTTCCAAATTCAAACAATGAAAATCGTGGCCCTTGCATAGCATCAAATCACTCCCTATTCTAAAGAAGTTTTCACTTAAAAATAATACATTTGTTTGTTTTTGGATGATGATGATGATGATGATGATGATAGACCTTCGTCGTCGTCAGCAAGGGAAAGGATATATTTAGGTTCTCAGCTACAGACGCGATGTGGATTCTCGATCCATTCAACCCAATACGACGCGTGGCTATCTACATACTGGTTCATCCACTCTTCTCTTTGTTCATCATCACTACGATATTGGTTAACTGCATACTCATGATCATGCCAACCACGCCTACCATCGAATCCACCGAGTAAGTATTACCAACTTTTCCTTTTTTTTTTTTTGTTATTCGTTTACCTTCATTTTCAATCACCTTTTTGTATTTGTGTGTGTATTTTTTTTTTTTAAACTTATAATTATATTTATACTTTTTATACTTATTTATACTTATTATAAATTATATTTATACTTATACTTTTTTTTTTTTTAAATAATATTTTATACTACGGAACTTAATTTTTTTTCTTTTTTATGAATTTTATTTATCAACATAATCTTCTTTTCTTTTATTTTCTTTTCTCTCTTTCATTTTATTAGTCTCTCATTTATTTTATATATAAAATGTTTTTATTTTTCTTCTTCTGTAACAAATTTACCCCCGTTCAATCCCAATCGTAATTTATTATTAAAATAGAAGCACGCCCCTATATTTTTACAAACTTTGAAGCAGAAAAATAACAAATTAATAATAATAATAATAATAATAATAATAATATAATCATCGTACAACCACCCACCCACCCCCCAACATAGTAAAGAATAATTTATAATTTTGTGTTCGATGAGTTCAATCAGAAAAGTAAAACAAAAACAAAATATATATATAGAAATATTTGAGCACGTCTACCAACACACACAGAAAAAAAATAAAACCATCTACATCGTCGATGGATCTTGTACCCATATATAGCACACCATATTATAACGATCTAAGTATCTCAATTAAATATCAAATTAGAATTTAGAACAATTCAAAACAAATCTTATTATTTTTTCATGATACACCATATATATATATAATACTTTTATAATTTTCCATGAAATCCCTTGTTTTTCAAACTTCCCATCATACACACGTCTTTTCTTTATTTATTTATTTATCTACATATTTATTATATAATAATATGTTTTAATATAATAGTTTTTAGTTATCAACAAAATGAACCTAACATTTTCAACACATTGTAGATATATTTGCTAATCAAGTAACATTATTTTTTCTTAGTGGCTATACATACATACATACATACATATATATATATAAATATATGATGATATTTTGTATATGTGTGAGTATGTATTGAAATATCATTGATAAACACGTGATTATCACAGTAGACTATTTTGTGTGTACGTGTGTGTCTGACAAATTGTATTACGGTTGGTAAGTTTTGTCCTAGCTTTGTCTAGTTGTAGTCTAGGATTTGTAGCCAATTTCTTTTTGATTTTCTTTATTTTATTTTATTTTATTTTATTTTATTTTATTTTATTCAATTGTTAATATGATCATTGATTTTGATATTTCATATATATATAACCCTTTGACTTGTTCCACATTGAAATGATTTTGTTTCTTCAGGCCCACATAACATAATAAAAACTTTCTAAAAATTTTCTTAAAATTTTCTAAAAACATTTCTTCAAAAGTTTTTCAACCTTTCAAAAACGTTTCTAAAAAATCAAATATGAAAATGAAAATGACCGCGTTCCGAGGAGACTTGCAAAAGATTACTACTATCAGTAAAATATTTTAGAAATGTATTTAAAAATACATTTCTACAATTTTTTACGAATGTTTTTCCAAAATATTTTACAATGTGGTCTGTTCAAGGTTTTTGAAAAGTTTTTTTGTTGGAAATATTTAACGAAACTTTCGCTGAAAGATTTGAAAAACCTTGTCGTGTTATGTGGGGAAATGATGCCACGGTATTATTTTTATTATTCAAACAATTTAATAATATTAAATAAATTATTATATACAATTGTTCACTTTTTTTTTTTTT